CTGGTACAACTGTTCAAATTTTGATAGATGGGGTACCATTCATAAGTTTATTACTCAAAGAATAGCTTCTTATCTTTATTTAGTTTTGCATGCAATTGTCCTATTCAAGGTTCATGTGGGTAATGGTAATACCCTTATATGCTCTACATCTTGTATATATGGCAATTACTTTAAATACAGTCTCACCCATTCGTTGTTGACCTGTTTGTTCTGGACCTTTAAGGGAGCTCATGTTTTCCTTGGGGTTCAATGGTTAGCTACAATTGGCCCCATTATCATAGATTATGTTGCTTTAACAATGGCCTTCACCCTAGCAGGGAAGAATATTCTCCTTCAGGGCGACCAGCATAATGGAGCCACCCATATCATTTCGGCCCAGTTATAATTTTGATGGGACGAAATTTCATTTCCATATGCTTCGTGTTTCAGTGCGGAACGAAGGTCGTTCCGCCCCTTTTTAATAGGTTTAGTTATAAATATTAGTATAAATGCAATAAAAGTCAGTTTGCGTTAAGGAACGACTGCCAACATGGAAAAGTGAGAATAGAAAGAGATAGAAGAGTGGTGAGTTGTCCTTTCTTTTGCTCTTTGATTCCACTCACACCTACAATTTACTTTTATGCAAAAATATGATTGCAATGTGACATAAAAAAGGACAGACGCGTGCAGCAAAAGCAGGAAAGAACAATGTGATATATAGCAGCGCAGACAAAGACGCAGGACGTGTCCGAGTGTTAGAGAATCGTCTTTGGGAAAACAAAAGAAAATAAGATAGCTTAGCTCCAATCTTATCCCCTTAAATATAAAGTCCATCGTTTGACTGAAGAAAGAAAGAGACATCCTTGGTCCAATAGTGCAGGGAACGACTTGAAGTAATCATAAGATTGCCATTGTCTTTCCATCCTATAAATAGAAAATCAGAGGAAGGCACAAAAAGTTTTGGCATGTTGGTGTAACTTTGGAGCAACACCCTTCTCTGTTCTATTCTCCCCTTAAGACTCCTCACAAGCAACTTACATCTTCTCCATTTTCTCTTTTATCACTGTATTTAGTTACTGTTTTGTTAAGTTTTTGAGTCTGTACACTTCTTTTCTACCATTTCGTCTTCATCAGCTTGAATCTCGAGTCTATGGGATCTCAAGTTGTTAAGATTATATTTGTATTTTCAATCATATCTTTTAACATGAGCTAATTTCTTTTTGTAATGGAAAAGCTGTGAAACTGTTAAATCTCTATAGTTGAATCTCTTATATTTATTTAAATGGGGTTTCTGTTGTTTAAGTGACTTAATATCCTGTATCAATGGAACTTGAACATGACTGAGAAATGAACTTCCATGAGGAAGAAATTTCAGACAGCTGAACACTAGGAGGAAGGTGAAGAGTGTGGAAACACTTTCTCTGGTTAAGGGACCCCCTCGTTCATTGAGGTTTTGCCTAGAGAAAAGGTAGGGATGAAGTTCTCATAGGAATATGGAGCTTCGTATACCATTTATCTCATGAGCTAAGGAATCAGAGCTGGCACCGAAGAGACCTGAACAAATCCTTTGGAAGAGATCTTGAGCCTTGGCTATAGTTGGTTTAACAATGGATCAATGTATCCATTCCTTTTCTTTAAATTATTGTTCCGCTTATCATTTCGTTGTGTTAATCCAGTTATTACTGCTTGCCACTGCTCATTTTATTTTATGCACATTTTATTTCGAAAGCACATCACAACCAATATTTTTCCTATGACTTGTTTTTCCTCCTTGATTAGGAAAGACTTGAAATATATATATAACGACGCGAGGAATTATTTTAAGTTGCTCTACACCTTTTGTCACAGAAGGACGTCACTGTGATATTAGGGAACGACTAGCCAGAATAATTCAATATTGTTAACCAATTATTCTTTAACATAGCTTAAAATATTAGTTAGCAATACTTTCTTCGTGGGAACGATAATCTGGGACTTAAAAACTCCCATTTATTACTTGATGCGTGCACTTGCGCAATTGGTCTTCATTCTTGGGAACGAATGTGCTTCCCTTGACTGAACAACAAAAAGATCAGAAAGTTATAATCTTGGGAACAAATGTGTTTTCCTTGATAGATTGCAAGAAGACCAACAAGTTTTTGTCGTCATTGTCGGAGATACTAATGAACTAATTAATGAATTGCATAGAGCAACTATTTTCTCTAAACTTGACCTCAGATCAAGTTTTCACTACATCCGAATGCATCCATCAGATACCCATAAGACGACGTTCTGGACACACTAGGGCAATTATGAATTTCTGGTGATGTCATTTGCCTTGAGCAATGCGCCCTTCACATTTTAGGCCATTATGAAGCACATTTTTGCAGCTTATGTGCGCAAGTTTGTTGTTGTTTTCTTTTACGATATTCTTATTTATAGCACTTCTGCATCACTTCACTTGGAAAAAGAATGAGACGCTTACTTTTCTGTGAGTGAAAGGAAATAATATTTTAATTTTTAGTTTGAATTTTGTTTTTCCTAGACTAAAACCTAGGAAAAGATGGGGGCATGGGTGTGTCAGGTGTGTGAAAAATAAATCAACATAGTTCGCTAAAGGGAATAGTGAACTTGTCTACTTAAGACACGTGGCCAATGGCTATTTTTTTCTGACCGTTACACCTAGTTCGTTGTGTCCAGTAGCGAAATTCTAAATGGCTGCCACATGTCCTGAATATGCTCAGAGCAGATTGACATTTTACATGGCCACCAAAAAGGTGCTACGTATGCAAACAAAGTTCGCTACTTGCTATAACAAATTTGTACGCGTGGCACTTTAGGAAATTTTACTGTTCACGTAACAATTGGGTAAATTTTTTTTCTAAACAATGACATTATGGTCACAGTCCTCCCCCTTCCCCCGTCTCTCTCTCTCCTTTTATCTTTCTCACTCTCTTAATTCTCTGTGATCTTCTTGGTCACAGCCTCTCTTAAAAAGAGAAGTTCTTATAAGCATGTAATGGTAATCTATGACATGAGTCCACAGATGCCTATTTCTTTTCTGTAATTTAAAATATACGACCATAACACCATGAACGGCAGGTTTCAAAACAATTGCATCCATAATTTTATAAAAATAAAAAAAAAATACAAACTTATAACGACTAATTACATATGTTACTTCTTTTTTATTTATATGAAGACCTGTATGCATATATTCCAAGTTCCATTTCACATTATAAAAGCTTAATTTTAACTTTTTTATATTATAAAATGAAAAATTAAAAATAAAAATTCTTTCACCTATGAAGTCAGGTTACAATTTTATAAGGCAATATACTTCTCAACATTGGATCCTGACATTTTTTTTGTAAAAAAAAAAAAAAACCAGTGGATTCCATTTCTGTAACAAGTGCAGAAAAAGCAAAAAAATCCTTCATCAATTGTTTGCTAACTTGTGGCATTGCATTTCTGTTGGTCTAACAATAGATAAGATGAACATAATTTCCAAAAGCATGGATCCAACCCAATGCCAAATATGGTAAGTAATCCAAAGGCAAGGCAGTGGACGGCGTACCAAAGAATGTTAGCCTGAACCCTGACCTATGTCTCTTCAATTGACCAATAAACAAGAACATTTAACCAAAAAAGAAAAAGAAAAAGAAATAAAACAAAAACATGGGAGAGAATCCTCTTATGTGCAAATTTTACACCACCTTGTTGTGTCTAAATTTTATATTTCTTCCTCTCCTTACAAGTAAATTAGTAAATCCCTATCATCATTTGTGAATTTCTATATAAAGAGAGATAAACACAAAATTTACACTTGGCAAGGTCACATAAAAATTACAGACCAGAGATCCACAAGAACACCATGAGCTGTGTTCATTTTACATGCAAACTTCATGCGAAACTGCTTATGAAAGTGTTTGCCCTCTTATTCTAACATATGGAGAACAGAAAGAAAGTCAAGGTTTAAGAAATCCAGTTTATTTACTAGCCTTCATGGAGCGAGACGTGGTCCACAAATAAATAAAAAAATGAAAATTTTGGTATTGTCCAACAAGCCATGACCTTTCACCCAAAAATGAAAAAACAAAAATAAAAATCTTCATAATCAATTCAAATGTTGAATTAAAATACTCCAAAGAACCATCTTATTTCCAAGATTTTGTTATCAATTGGTCCCGAACCACTCTTTGTACTGTGCCTCTTTCTTTACAAAGAAAATGCAAATAAACTTAATCACATAAACCAAGAAATGCATCACACCCTAAACCCTAAATGCCACAAGAACATCCAAGTCATGTAGAACTACCAAACTCACCCTCCTAAACCCTAAATGCCACAAGAACATCCAAGTCATGTAGAACTACCAAACTCATAAAACAAGCATTATCAGGATATAATTCCATTTTTGTAAGTTGGTATATTTACAAATCAGAAAAATATCATCAATGCTGCAACTAAATTGCTATTAAAGAAATTTAAGCGGCTACTTCAGAAGAAGTTTACCACAGTCCTATTCGCCTGTAATGAGACTTTTAATGTAGGTACTTTTTTTTTAATAATTTGAATTAATCAAGACCTTAAACAATCTGTTAAACATAGTAATAGAGTGGTGAATCCTTTTAACAAAGTGTCAACTAAGGTCCATTTCATCATCCTTAAAATGACTTCGTATTCAGAGGCTCAGAATCATGAATGTCATTTGAATTTTGTTTTTATCTTTAAACCTTCAGATAATATAAAGGACTTCTAATTTTATTTTACTTTTTGGGAACTCACAACGGGTATCATCCGCAAAACATAATTTCAACAACTCAGAAGCCAAAACAGGTCTTTAGACATACGAGAATAATACAAAAACTAATGTCAAATTCTATGTAATTCACTGTCACCAAACTTCTCAATAAAAGCAGAGGCATCATTCTTTCATGGAACCTTGGAATACTCTGACAATGAAAGGAGGAGGAGCATATAAGGCATTGGTCACAACTGAAATTAGAGTGTAATTCTTTTCTTATCAAACTTGAATTAAATTGAAAGTCATAGTAGAAAAGATTCAAATTCAAAGTGTGATAGCATTATAAAACTACAACCAACATTGTAAATTCTCAAATTCATGATTGAAAAAGAAGAAGGAATTAATCACATGGAATCACCTAATGGAACGAACCCCACAAAACATTCCCACCAGAAAAATAAGGATAAAGAAGCAAAACAAGAAAATAAAATAAAGAAACCAAAGATTACTAGGCCTCACTTCCTATCTCATAATTTTAACCGGTAATATGAAAAGGAAGAAAGCTATTGCATAACTTTCCATATCCTTACTTGCACTGCACACCTGCTTCAGCAGCTCGACGAGGCTTGCTTTTCCGCCTGCTTCCATTATGCCGAAATCCATTGGACTTTGTCAACTCATCAGTGCTTGTTTGATTTTCAACGCCATTTTCTTCCTCAACTGAATCTAATTTCTCTTTTACCTGTGAATTGTTTCGCTTCCTTTTCCTTCCATGCTCTGTTGCAGTGGGACTTTTCATCTCTTTGTCAGAAACTCCATTCTTAACATTGTCACTGTCATCTTCTATTTTCTCAACTTCTTCTTCATCAAAGTCATCCTTTAGAGGTTTTTGTGGTCTTCCTCTTCTCTTTTGCATAGGAACTTTTTCATCCTCACCACTTCCAGGATCCTCGTGATTAGTAACAGTTAGCTTTTTGGCCTTTCCTCTACCTCTACCCATGATCTTAATATCTCAAAAAAAGATGTGATCATACAATAAAGGATCTCTGCAAGAAGCATGTAATAAAATGTTAAATAGAGATAGTAGAGGATTCTAAATTAGCTTAAATCTAAACATGTTGGAGCAGCTTCATTTGAGTTAGGAGGTAAAGCTGTATGTCACATAAATAAATGTTCAATCTAGCATGTATTGTCAAAAAAAAAAAGGACTTGCACAAAGACAAGCTTATAAGCAGCCCCTAGGGCATTACAAAATGAAATTCTGATATGAGCTATTACTGTATTTATTTCTGGGCAAAAGAGGCCATAGGAGAAATTACTGTCTCCCATTTTATTTTATACAGAAAGAAAAAGATTTTTCCTGCCCAATTGTGCCCCTTTTTCTTTTAAGCTAAGGTGAACCAGTAAACTGTATTTTCAAGCTTTGATTTTTCAGTGGCAGAACCCAAAAACAAGATACATGATACATCAATTTCGAGAACTACAGGATATAGAATTAAACTTCAGATTAGTTTTTAAATAGCTGAAAGATAGATTAAAGAGAGGCATCTAGCCATAACTTATAGTCCAGTACCTTGCAAAAAAAATAAATTACATTAGGGCATATATAAACACAATAAGAGGATTTGACGATTCAATGAAAAAGTAAATCAATTAGAAAATGATGAACAAAATAAGCTTCTAACCAAAACACAAAGAATCTCCGGAAGATCCACAATAAACCATGAAAGTAATAGGCTGTAAATAGAAAGAACTGATAATAATCGAAATCCATAAAATCACCTTAAACTATCGAAACCCATAAATCGAAAAGCACTAAGAACAAAACGAGAAAAATGAAAGGCATATATTCCAATCCAAATTCAGCTAAAAGAAGAAAAGAAAGAAAGAAATACTGACCAGAAATGAGGATAACTGGTTTGGCATATCCAGCATGAGACTCAAGGAATGGAATCAGCTAAAGCGCCCAAAAGAAGAACTCTAGAATAAGCAAGACCCAATAGAGTTATTTATTGGGAAGCAAGTAGATTCGAACAGTGAAAAGCTCAAAAACAGATATTTTAAAAAAAAAAACAAAAAAACAAAAACAAAAACTATGATCTGAAGAATGAATAACCAATACAAATATGATGAAACATTAAAATTTGAGTGGATTAAGGATTGGCCTTACGACAACGAGTTTCAACTCCGAAGAGGGTGGCTTCTAAGAAACAACCACCCAAATGAAACAGAGGCAAAGTAGGGATACAGAGAGAGAGAGAGAGAGAGAGAGAGAGAGAGAGCCAAGAAGCGTGAATAGATATTTGTTGATTGGCTCTTCAGTCTGTGACTCTGTACACTGAGGTGTGTATTATTTATATTTATATCTCTCTGTGTAAAAAGCGTGAACAAAATTAAATTCACAGGGCCAGTTTGGTAATTTAAAAGCATAGTACTTAACAGCTTGTGTTTTGTGTACTGTTTGTGAAACCCTGAGTGCTCGTGTTTTGTGCGTGTGTTTTGTGCGTAAGTGCTTGTTTTGCTCCGGAATGCAGATTGCAAAGCTGCAGCTGTAAGTGTGTCCCAACAATGAAACCTGAAACCTAGGCACTTGAAAAATGTGAGATTCTCTACGATAAGCTACCGTGTGACGCGAGCCATGGATCATTAGGGACATAGATTATCACATTACATCATCTTAGAGTGCGATGTAAGTGGAGTGGAGAATGCTTATGCAACTTTTTATTATTTTAATAGAAAATAATAACCATGGAATTTATTCTTTTTAAGCATATTTTGAATTAAATTATGATTTCCATTAAATTTTCTCCTATCAAACTATAATTAAAACAATTTTTTATATAACAGATGCAATAAACCAGAAAAAATACTAATAATAAAAGTAATAATAATATAAATAATGGTATATATCCTAATATGTATGTATATATAATGTGAGACAAGTTAACTTTGGTATGAATCAATAGAGATAGGATATTACGCATATCTTTATTCATGCCTATTTTATTTACTCATCTCCAATATTATTGAATCAGAATTTCAAGAATAGAGAGAAAAAGTGAAAGTTAATTGAGATTTTAATCAAACGATATTAGAGATGAGTAGATAAGATAGACATGAAAAAATGTAGGTTGAATATCATATCCGAAATCAATATAATAGGAATAGCACTAATTGTATATTGACATTGGTTGTCATTAATACTAGTATGTCATTATTTGATTATAGAATTGTAACGGTAACTTATAATTGGTGGTAACTTTATTTTGTAACGTTCAAAATAATTATACAATAAATACTTAATTGCCCTTAATGTTAGGAATTTATGAATTCTATCAACATTCATTTTTGCTATCATTTAATTTCTATAGCAATCTGCAACCGTTAAGATATGAATTGATGGTAATTGAAATAATCATGATTACCATCAATAAATATTTTTGCCATTTTAATATTATCAGCAATTAATGCCTTTTTTTCCGGTACAAAATTTTTGCTATAAAACAAAGGCTACGTTAACAAATCAAATCATTCTCATATTATTTCTATTCCCTATGTCTCTCCATTTTCCTTCTCGTTTTTTCTTCTTTTCTCCCAACCATTCCCTACGATTTCTTGTATGAATTATGTTTGATTAATCCTAATCTTTAACTAATTGTATATTACTTGTTTAATCATAATCTTTAAGTAATCATAGGTTAGTTATATGTGAATGTGTTGTGCTTATATATATGTGTGTGGTAATCTTATTCCCCATAGAATCATAGATTAGTTTATATGAATTTTGTTGGGTATAATCTTAATCTCTAGGAAATCGTAGGTTAGTTATGTTTGAATTTTGTTGGGAATTTTGTTATTTGAATAAATCTCAATCTTTAGATGATTGTAGGTAATCTTAGGTTAGTTACATGTGAATTTGTTGTGTATTATATATGTGTGTGGTAATCTTAATTTCCATACAATCATAGGTTAGCTTATATGAATTTTGTTGGGTGTAATCCTAATCACTAGAGAATTGTAGGTTGGTTGTGTATAAATTTTGTTGGGAATTCTGTTGGGTATAACCTTAATTCATATAGAATTATAAATTGAGTGTGTATGAGTTTTGTTGGGTGCAATTCTAATCCCTTAATGATAATGGGTTGGCGTGTTAATTTATTATGTCTGTTATGAATCTGATCTTTGATATATGCTGGATAATTAATGTGAAAATTATAAAATTCTTTGAGAAATTGTTGAAGTATGTGATTTGTGACAATATTGAATTTCCCTAATTTATGTGATAAGAAATAATGGGAAAATAACTTTTGAGATGATATCTCTTGAAAGTGACAAACACAATCTTATGGCTTTATGCCTACGATGTTATATAATGTGAAAATGTTGTTTATCTGTTCTTCCCAAAGTGGTAGCAAAATGGTTTCTCAGTATACTAGTAGCAACAACTTTAGTGGAGATGTGCTGATGGCTAATGAATCTTGTTTATACGTGGCTGGCAACATTTTTGAGGTCTCTCATAGTTCTCTTCCAACTGAATAAAATTAATAATGAAAATTAAATATATGAATTGATGCTTGAGTTTATTATACTGATTAAATGAGTTATCATTATCCTTACTATATTTTGAATTACCAACTTTTTGCTGATTGCTTATGTTTACGTTGTGTGCTGCAATGATTTTCTGGGAAAGCAAAATCTCGGTGAAGCAGGTTGTTGAGGTTAGCACTGAGCAATAATTATACCAGAAATATTAATAAACTTTATGCTAATTTTTCTTTGAAAATTTAATAATTATACCACAAATATTTTAAGTTAAACCTTAGACTCTAGTCTTACGTTTTGAAATATTAATATTTATCTTAAATATTTATGTTATATATATATATATATAGGGAAAAATGTCTCTGCAGTTAATGCATGTATTCCCAAAACGACGTCGTTTTGGTATTGAAATATTAAAAAATTATAAGCATAAAGACTATTATAACCCTAAAATAAATTGAAATTATAAAAACACCATAATTTCCCCCCCAAAACGACGTCGTATTGAGCTTACTGCAGATAAGTTATCTGCAGTAACTGCAGAAACATTTTTCCCAAAACGACCCGGCCTAACCTGCATTCAACCCATAAAAATCGGGTCGGGTTAGGGTTGGCTCGAAAAAATAAACGAGCCAGAAAATCCAACCCAGCCCAACCCGAGCCGGGTTAGGGTTGGCTCGCGGGTTGGCTCGATAATCAGCTCGCGGGTTGGCTCGGAAAAAAGCTCGCGGGTTGGCTCGAAATGATGCCAATGGGTTGGCTCAAAAAAATTGAATAGCATTAAACTTGTCATAAGAGAAACAAATTTCCAATGAGACTTCTAATTATAGAATATGATGATATAATAATAATGTTAATATTTGATTGCAATATACACTTCTAGCACAAAAGGGTTCAAGGCCAAATTATGATTCAATCAGGCTTTAGTCCTAGAACTGAGTAAAAAAAGAAAATTCCCAAATTCCCAGTTACAAATTGTACTAATCTAAAACATATTGGTAACTGCATAAGCTGTAATATCACTGCAACTAATTTTTTCTTGACAAGCATCATCATCTAGAAGCCATTTCTCAAGCAAAAAGAAGGGCATTTCTGCATTAGCATCATCTGGTTTGCTCACATCTTGGAAAAGAGTAGCCTCAGGGGAAAGAGATTGAGAAAACTCAGAACGAAAGAGGAAGGATCTAAACAAACCAAAGAGCCAACCCTGCTGCGTAACTGTTCCCCCCCACGCGGCAAAACCATCCTTCTTTTAATTCTCAGCTTTGGTCAGACTTGTCTTTCCTTAATTGCCATTCTCATTTTCTCATCTTGGAATTTTCATTCCTTTATTTTTTCTTTCTTACCTATTTACTCTCGTCACATCATATCTATCTGCAATTTATGTGCTTTTCAAAGTACAACAAAAAAAAACCTTTCTTGAACTTTCCTTCACCACTCAACCTCTGTTCTCTTAGATTTGCAGTGGGAAGGGTTCACTGTCGTTGTGCTCGGAATGTCATCGGAGGCGAGAAGCAAGGGCTGCACTATTGAAGAGGGCAAGCACTACCCTCCACCATTTAGAAATTACAAATAACGGAAGTCGGAAAGCATCCAAATACTTGATAGTTTCGAAAATAATTTAGAAAACAAAGTGAGAAGACCTTACCGTGGACTGGTGATGGTGATGGTCGCAGGGTTCTTTCGTTAGGTCGTCCGAGGATGGTGATGGTCGCAGGCAAAGGGCTGTTCGGCTGGGAAAAGGGGGCAGATTAGGGTTGGAAAAAAAAAATAACGAGAAAGAAAGTGCCCCGTTTGAATTATTAATTAAATTAAAAAAAAAAAGCCAACCCACGAGCTGGCCCGTTTGACCCGCGAGCTGGCTCGTTTGAGTTAGGGTTAGATCGGGTCGGGTTGAATCGAGTTGGCAGCTCATTTAAGCCAGCCCAACCCGACTCATTTAGGACGGGTTGACTCGTTTTTGCCAACCCTATCTGCATGTATTCTCAAAACAACGTCGTTTTGGTATTGAAATATTAAAAAATTATAAGCATAAAGACTATTATAACCCTAAAATAAATTGAAATTATAAAAACACCATGATTTCCGCCCCAAAACGACGTCGTATTGAGTTTACTGCAGATAACTTATCTGCAGTAACTGCAGAAAAAGCGAACCCATATATATATATATACACACACACACACATATTACGTTAGCTTATGTCAGTGAGAAACAAAGTAATTTTCCCAGTTTTCTCATTTTTAAGAACCCTAAAAATGAAGAATTCAATACCTTATACTGAATCCTATAGAGTAGAGCTGCTGGAATAGATCCGGATTTCATGTCCAGACCACTTGTCTCAACGTTCAATGTTAAGACATGATGTTCCTCAACGTTCAACCTCTAAGTTCTCCTCTAAGTTAATTTACACACACACACACACACACACACACATATATATACATGATGTTTTGTAATTGCAGAGCATAAAGGATGTCTATGCCTATTTTGGTTATGCTTATTTATATATGTAGAGATATATGTATAAGTTTATGCTTTGATTATTTTTTGGATAATGAAACATGGTGTTTATAGCTCATTTAGGCATTGTGTGGGAGTTAGTTTTAGGAGGGAAAGGAAAGGAAGGGGAGAGTTTTATTAATCTCTTTCCTTGTTTGTGAGTTTAAAAAATGGGGGAAGGGAATTAAGAATTTTTGCAAAATCCTCCAAAACACTTCTCACCCTTAAAATTAAAGTTCCCCCAATTCGGGGGTTTGAGGGGAAAATATTAAAAG